GTAAAGTCTGTTTACGAGCCTAGTGGCCCATTAGGCCGGTGCTTAACTCCGGTTTCTGTAGCATGAAGCGACTAGGAGTATTTCTACTCCCCCCTGGATGGGATGCTAGTCCATCGCAGGGTTACCCCCAGCATTAAATTGCCGGTACCCATTTATACACCTGGGTGAAGAGAGGCACTGTGAGAGTAAAGTGTCTTGCCTAAGAACACAACACAATGTCCCGGCTGGGGCTCGAACCCGGATCACTCGGGTTCACACTTAGCGGCCGAGTATTAATGCCAGGGTACTGGCACAAAATGGTGTTGAGTTTAGACACTGTCTGGAAATATGCAAATGAGTCTTAAGCTTACAAAATTCTATCTTAACTTGGTCTGGCAAAGTGGAAATCTGTAAGTCTGGAAATATGCAAATAAGTTTTTAGCTCACTCACCTTTATCTTTACTTGGTAGTTGGTAGTCTGGCCCTGAACTAAATGCTGAGGCCTTCTTAATTTACGCGTTCAGGGATTCAGGCTCGACTTGGGGACTTTTCAAGGCCAAGGATCATTTTAGGGGCTGGATATGCTTAATCTTAAGTGTTAGATTATTAAGTTAACGTTTTAACTTCTAAATCAGTAGTCTGCTATCAGTTGTTTTTGCGAACGTTTCTTTACCCTTTTTTTGCAGCAAAAAACGATTAATCTTTGTTCCGATTATTCGTTATTTTCATAGACGTTGACGAATGTGTGAACCACACCTGTGCCAATGGTGCATCCTGTATAGATGGTGTCAACGACTTCTCATGCAATTGTCGACCGGGGTATACGGGACAACGCTGTGAATCTGGTAAGACTAGCTCTGCATCTTAGCGACTCTTCAGGATCTGTTCGCTCTAGATTTCTGTCACTGAACTTTGACAGTATAATTGATTAAATATCTGGCAGGGCCCATGGGAAATATGAAGTGAATCCTGTGTTCTGATTGGCAAAGCAAGCGAGAAAGATTGGCCTATTCATTTGTTGCCCGCTGTGATCCCGCGCAACAAAAAAAAGTTACCAAAAGCTGCATAAAGTTCCGAATTTTTGGACAGTGTCGGCGATAAAAAAAACTTAATAGACTCTCGTGGGTTTATTGGGCTACAATAACTTTTGATAAACTCTTTCGAACAAAGCCTAGTCTGAATAAACCGAAAATGTATGATGTGCGCTATCTTGGAATGAACTCTTTCTCGTAAAGGAAAGGCAATAGTACATTTAATAATAATAATGATAGCCACAATAAAAACTGAAAATAATAAGAACATAAAAACACTGAAAAAAGAGACCGGCTTGACTTGCAAGGCAACGCAGAAATTTTTTTGTTTTCATGGCAATTTTTTTATTCACAGACATTGATGACTGTGTTAATCACACATGCAGAAATGGCGGATCTTGCGTCGATGGGGTGGAAAGTTATTCGTGCAACTGTTTAGCAGGATTCACTGGAGATCAATGTGAAGCAAGTGAGTTTTATGGGTTAAAAATTTTTCATTTTAATTTTTCTATTTCACGAGTTAAAAGAATATGATAAGTTTTTAATTCATAGTAAACTTCCTCAATTATTTTTTTTTAGTGGAGTCGTAGAATTCCGAAGAAAATGATATTGACTACTCCTCGCTTGGTTATGAAAGTTATCCTATGCTTTCTTTATCTCTAAGGCACTGCAGTTGATCAGCATAATGAAGCAAAATTACCCTACTGCTTTGATTTTTATTAAAAGGCATTGCTCCGTTCAGATTATTATTTTTTTTACAGACATTGATGACTGCTTTAACCACACATGTGATAATGGTGCAGCCTGTGTAGATGGTGTTAACACCTTCTCGTGCTCTTGTCTACCCGGATATACTAGTGAGCAATGTGAAACTGGTAAGTTTAGGTTTGGAGCTACAGCACTTGTTGGATGTTATCTTTCTCCTCTGGTACAGTTCCACCGCGTGTCGTGCATATCTCCCTTATAGCCTGTAGCTGTTGACTGTGATCGTTTTTCTCCACTGTTTACTTCTCTGAAGTGATAAAAAAAAACTAAGATCTCTGAAAGTTATTAAATGCAAAAATTATCCCAACGGGCCAAGCGAAACTTCATAAACTGAAGGAATAGTTCGAAGGCTATTGAGATTTCACAATCTTTTACTTTGGAAGCTCAAATGTCTAGACCTTACGGCATATATAGCCCATGCATTTTTTTTAAAAGCTAACTTTCTAAGTAGTTCATCATTGTGGAGCTTTCAGTGGTATTAGAGAAAAGAGATTAATTTGAACTTTTAACGTGGAGTATCGATTTTCACCAGATATCTTCTGTTCGTAGACATCAACGACTGCTTGAATCACACGTGCACTGAAAATGGTTTCTGCGTTGATGGTGTTGACAGTTACTCGTGCAACTGCCTGGAAGGATTCACTGGGGATTACTGCGAGACAAGTAATTCCAATACATATACTTATGGAACTATATGGTAACTTCATATAAAATTTTTGATGGATTGGAAGGGGTCAAGGATCATTTCAGGGGCTGGATAAGCTTGAATTTAAATATTAGACTATTTACTTGATGTTTTAACTTCGTAGTAGAAGTCTGTTAGCAAATGCTTTTGCAAACGTTTCTCTATCTTCTTTTTTTTATCTTTGTTTCAATCATTTCTTATTTTCATCATAGACATTGACGAATGTGTGAATCACACGTGTGCCGATGGCGCATCCTGTGTAGATGGTGTTAACAACTTCTCATGCAATTGTCGACCAGGATATATTATAACATAACCAAAGTAAAGCGCGCGCTCTGATTGGTCAATTTAGCGTCCCCCATTTGCCCATGGGTGTACGCTGCTGACGTGAGCANACAGCGTTCACCAGTGAACCCAACCATGCACTTGCACGAGAAGTTGTTGATACCATCTACACAGGTCGCCCCATTAGCGCAGCTATGTTCACTACAGTCGTCGATATCTATAGACAAAGCAAGGCTCTGACTTCCCATTCTAAAGTTGAAACGTTGAAATAATAATTCCAAATGGGGATCATTCAGGGGTTAAGGAAAGAAGAAAGGGATCATTTTAGGGTCTGGCATATTTTAGCGGGTTCCTTATGCGCTAATCACATTAGTGAAACGCCTGGTAACAGTTGAGGGTTTAAAGATATAACATAGTTGCAGTATTTTAACTACTATGAAATATGCACAATAAATATGCGTTATTGACCTTGCGTTAAATCAGGATGGTTAGATATTAGCAGAGGTCTTTTTTGTGTGTTTTTATGAACCGAGACCAAGTCTGGGACCATAAAAACAGAAAAGAAGAAGACGGTTCATATTGTGCCATCTTGACAAAACAAGCTTGGCTGATAATATTACAGAGAAAAAATATTTTCCTTTATTAAGGATGAAGACCAATTTTTTTTTTTAATTACGAGAGACAAGTAAGAAATACAATGTATATATGAAGTTCATATATTTTGAACTGCGGTATTAAATACGTATGTAATACCGCAGTTCAAAATTTATGAACTTCCGCTGACCTCTGCACTAGTATCGCAGAGGTCAGCGGTTCGAGTCCCGTACAGGCCTGATTTTTTTCAGGTCTGATTTTCGCTACTGCATAAATAGCGCTCTTTACTGCGAGAATCGTGCATCATACGTATTTAATACCGCAGTTCAAAATATATGAACTTCATATATACATTGTATTTCTTACTTGTCTCTCGTAATTAAAAAAAAAAATTGGTCTTCATCCTTAATAAAGGAAAATATTTTTTCTCTGTAATATTATCAGCCAAGCTTGTTTTGTCAAGATGGCACAATATGAACCGTCTTCTTCTTTTCTGTTTTTATGGTCCCAGACTTGGTCTCGGTTCATAAAAACACACAAAAAAGACCTCTGCTAATATCTAACCATCCTGATTTAACGCAAGGTCAATAACGCATATTTATTGTGCATATTTCATAGTAGTTAAAATACTGCAACTATGTTATATCTTTAAACCCTCAACTGTTACCAGGCGTTTCACTAATGTGATTAGCGCATAAGGAACCCGCTAAAATATGCCAGACCCTAAAATGATCCCTTTCTTCTTTCCTTAACCCCTGAATGATCCCCATTTGGAATTATTATTTCAACGTTTCAACTTTAGAATGGGAAGTCAGAGCCTTGCTTTGTCTATAGATATCGACGACTGTAGTGAACATAGCTGTGCTAATGGGGCGACCTGTGTAGATGGTATCAACAACTTCTCGTGCAAGTGCATGGTTGGGTTCACTGGTGAACGCTGTGAAATTGGTAAGATTAGGTTAAGGCTGGGGCTATCCGTTGGATGTCCGTTATCTATTCTTCCTGTCTTTGCAGCTTTAATATTGCATTTTCGTCGTTGCTTATGGTCTTTATCAATCTGCGCATCTCAGTTGTCAGCAACCATTGTTAACATCGTGTACAGATTGCGCTTTTTCATATGGATGACGTGATAAATCTTGCTTAACATTTCCCTCTTACTCATAACTCAAAACTATCTAAATTATGCCTTTATCATTCATTTAAGGCTTACGGTGTCGAGGCCATTTAAAACAGGAGTGGGGTTTTTTCGGCCGATTTTTTTTCTTTTTTTCTGAGCATTTTGACAGCTCAGCTTCCTCGAGTTTGCGGCCATATTTTGGAGTGAGATATCGGGCTACTATTCTTGCCAGGGAGTTTGATTGTCCATTCTGAGCAGTTGGTTTAGTTAAAGTAAATTGTAGATGAGTTGATTTTTGTTCTATTTTCCAACACAGACATTGACGATTGCGACAACCACACATGTGTTAACGGTGCATCTTGTGTGGACGGGTACAACAACTTCTCATGCAGTTGCTTGCCTGAGTACACTGGTGATCGTTGTGAAAATGGTACTGCGTTTGTTCGTAATTGTTTTGGTTATTTTCATCCTTGCCTTGCAGACTCGCAATAAAACTAGTAATTGGATTTTGAAAGGGTAGTATCACGTTTGGGTTGTGGAGGAGGTAAACAACTTTACGATTATGAAGAGCACCGATCAACTTAAGGGTGTATATACTAGGACACATGTTCACCTCCTTTCTATGCTCAGACGAAAGTATATCGCAAAAGAGGCGTTCTAAAAAGAAGTACTTAAACATGTGCAGTTACAATTCAACTTGAGGCTTTTTTTTAAGTGGGTGTTGCAAAGCGTGACTCATATCCTTACATTACGTATGAGGACAAAACTCTAAATTTTATTGCCGCCATAAAGTTCAGTACAGCTGGGCTTTTACCTGGGCATACGGTACAAAGCTAATTTATGATGATAAGGTATCTTGCTTTTCAAATCCTTAGCTGTTTTGTTACATCCTTCACTTGTGACGACGTCTACAGTTAAAGTTTCTGCTGGGTCATCGTCATTGGTTCGACACATCCTTGTAACTGAAGTCTATGAGGAAACTAATACAGCTCCACCAATAACTGTAGAACACGGAACAGGTACTTAAGATATTCATTTTTGGAGCGGAACACTTTTTTTATAAATGGGGAGGAAGGATACTTAGTACTCTTTTACAGACGTCCAAGTCTTCAAAATCTTAAAAAACCTTGCCCATACTCTTAGAGTCAATTCGTCTTCAAACTTCTTTTCATTGGTGGCTCCTACAGCCCAAAAAATCTTGTTTCATCTTCAAATTTTGAACACGATTTATGGCAGAATCTTTGAGAAAGCTATAAAACAAACAGATATGGAGAACATGTGACCATTTGCTGAGTACTCTAATGCAGGCACATTACGAGCTAATTCATATTGTGTTATCCGCCTTAAATAGCAGCAAGGAAGACATTCTCCTCTACTCCTCAGGAGATTTTGCCTGAATGCAAAACTTTGAAATATATATGTGAGTTTTTATCAATTAAAATAGCTAAAATTAAATGTTTTTCTCAGTCTTGGCTGCTGAAATACGTATTTACAAGAAATGGAATGAGGATCTCAAAGTGGAAACCAGTTCAGCTTACAAAGAATTAGCATTTATTCTTGAAAACGAGGTAAGGAATGTACATCTTGGAACTGACACAACAACATGCTGCGATGAAATGCTACAGCTAAAGGAGCAAAACTTTCCTTGACTGATATTAGAAATTTCACTCATAGGAAATGTTTCTACAAGACATTTTTTGGTTAGCACTGAGAAATACTGCAAAACAAAATGCAGGTATTACGCAAGGCACGTGTATCGTATGTTACGATCAAGATTAAATGAAAGCGCACTGATGTTGACGAAATAAAGGCGACGAGAGTTGCTCACAATTCTTTCTACTTCATTCGTCTTTATTCTTTTACGCCGATACCTTCCTTCTAAACATAATCATGTATGGAGGTGACAAATCAGAGCAGAATCATGTCGCTAAAGTACTATGTTTATGTTATGTTATGTTATTTGATCTAACAGATACGAAAACAGTATTCTGATGACGCAAGCTTCATAGATGTACAAATTGTATCATTCAGGTGAGCGAGATTGAAAAAAAGCGACGCCATGAAAATCATTGAACTGTAAAACACGTATTTAATTTACGTTTTGGTTTTTCTTGATTTTCCTAGACGAGGAAGTGTCGTGGCGAAATTTAAGTTGCTATTCAAACAAATGGTGTCACATGATACAGCACTGGCTCCACTAGTAAAGGCTGTGAAAGACGGCAACCTTGGTCCTTTGACTGTCGAGCCCAAGTCAATGAAAGTCGTGAAGGAAAGTGAGGGTAATTTAAAACTAGAAAAACTATAACAATGAAAAATAATGTCTCATCAAGTAAAAAGTGAGCGGATGCACTTACTACACATAGCCGCAAAACGTTTTATTTTAGTTAAGTATTGGAAGAGAGAATGTGAACAAAAGTTGGTGTTACTATAAACTTTATCATGACCTCTGTCGGATAAAATTTCGGAAGTTACACCATGAACGGTAGTGAAGAATTGTGAATCGAGAAATCATTGTATATCAGGGGGAAAGGCTCGAGATCGAATTTGGATTATATATCTTCCATTTGAACATCAAAAGCAAATGATTTAAGCTAAGGTATATCATTCTCAAAGACTTTGCCGAACGATTGGGAACAATGCATGTTGGCAGTAACTGTTTGTTTGTCCCAAGATGTGTTCTGTTCGCAACTGTGGTTTTAATTTACTTCAAAGCTAGAAAGAGACTAAAACTGAAAAAGGCAGGAGCCCTTCACCTTTCCTTTCCCTCTTCTAAATGTCGTTGACACAAGTGACCATCTCCGACCAGAAGAAAGAGTGAGAAGTAGGCCATTGGAAAAATTTAGTTTATTTGGAAACATTGTTGTTATTATCATCGTTAGGTCAGTCAGAAGCGGCCAAAGAAGACAAAAAAGGGCTGCCCTACCCGCTAATCATCGGTGTTTCTTGTGGTGGGATCGTTATTTTTGTCCTTCTTGGCATTTACCTCGTTTGCTTCTTCAAGAAACAGAAGAGGTTTAAGCTTGGACGCACCTCAAAAGGGTTGCGCTCTGAAGTTGCACTCCACGAACAAGAGACCTATGAGTTAAGAGAAGCGCGGTCTAAAGAGGACATTGCTAATTACGAGGAGATAGGAATCGTGAAAGGCACTGGTCATTACGAGAAGCTGCACTTTTCAAATAAAGGAAATCTCTATCAAGAGGTACCAGCTGATGATGGTGATTACCAGGAAATCAAGAGAACGGATGATCCTGACAATTACGAGAATATGAATGCTGGGGAGGGAGATGCGAAGTATTATGAGGAGATTTCCATCTACAAAAATACTTTGGAAACAGATTGAGTTGAAAAATGTGTACCCTCCATTTAATTGGTGGAATTTCCAGCTGAAAGGTTGCAAAACCTTTATCTTACCCTTTTAGTCTCTGAAAAGGTCACCAGTGACTGCTTTAAATACGGCTAGGCTGGGTTTACTTTGTTAAAGTACGTCTGCAAGGCGTTGTAATCACTATGAACGATGGTTCGAGGTTTTGTCGTTAACTTTGTTGGAGATTTGCGCACTTTTAGATTGAGTGTAGTAAAAACAAGAACTGAAGTAATCACAATTGCCAATATTTATTAGAAACAATAAGGAACCAAAGTAAAAGCAACCAAATTGCCTTGAGCGCGGGAAAACGCCAGCGACCAAATCGTGATTGACTTTAGTTTTCAGTTTTCATTTACTAGTTTGCTATCGAGGTATAAAGGATGCTGAGAAGAAGAATTTCATTTTGTTAATTACTAAAGCTTCGCCAGACAAAAAGAATGTAAATCTGCGCTTCCTAAAAACTCTATTGCTAAATGACGCGGCGCTTTTTGATATCATCTCCCTGTAATTGAAGTTTGTAACAATGTAACAGCTTTTGTACAGCAATCACAGCCAAATTTCATCAAGATTAAAAAAATTGAAATGACCTCTGTTTGATGGTCAGCCGAGATAAACAATAAAATACACTCAGTTATAGGCAATTACCATGACCATCCTGCGATATATGATAAGTAAAGTCTGTGGAAATTCTCTCATTTTGAAATTGTCTTCGCACCTCGGTCTGCCGGCGGAATGAAGATCGGGCGTATAATATAAAGTTCGGTCATTTATTTTGTTTTGTTTTATCTTTTAAATAATCTTTTAGAAGATATATCTACAATCGGCGAAAAAAATTGTTGACACATTGACCTTTTCAACGCCCCATGACTTCAGTTTTATCGCTATTGCTCTCCTCCACCCAAAATGGGTAAATGGAGGGGTCGGGGATCTGTTAATTAGTATTAGTAGATTGTATTAGAAACCGGACTCCGGT